ATATTTTATTTTTATATTTTTGTTATACATCGAAGCTTTCTTTAAACAAGATTATGCAAAAGCTTGCATTTTAAAGGATTTAATGTACGCTTGTAGTTGTACTTTCAAAAATTTATTTCTTATAGTTTTAATTACTAAAAAGTATGGGATTATTGTTACAGATTCAGCTCATGCCCTTTTTGTAAGAGCAACATATTTGGTTTGCCACAGATTAATATCATCATGGAAAACGGATTTAAATATTTCTTTGGCAGCTCTTGAAATATTATCAGGATTAGCAAGAACACGCATTCGTGAAACAGGTAAAGCACAATGTCTGTACTAAACTATAGAATCTTTTTTTAATATGTAAAACAGATTAATTTATCAAATGTTCAATATTTTACATGCAGCGAGGAAGCTAACAGGTTAAATTACATAGTATCATTTTATAATTTACAATTCAATTGTAACATAAATTTTTCGTAATTATAGATGCTTTAGAATGTAAGCGTGCCGTAAAATGGCTTTGTGATTACATCGCTTATCAATGTTGGCGTCCACCACCTGCTCATTCGAAAGATCTTCACTCCTCTATTGTTGCTGCCTTTAGTTGCTTAACGACTTGGTTAACTGCTCATCCTCAATTACTACAAGTTAGTATTTTGTTTGTATATACTTAATATTAATTATTTTTATAATAAACTGATTCTTAGAACTATTCTTGTAGGATAAAGATTGTTTAACAACAGTTTTAGAGGTTGTTGAACTTGGTGTATCAGGAACTAAAAGTGTAGGGAAACCTGGTGAACCTATTAAAATGAAAGATGAGAAGGAATTAAAACCAGCATCTATGCGTGTTAGAGATGCTGCTGATGCACTTCTAACAGTCATTCTGGAACAGGTATTTATAAATATTTACAAATGAAGTGTAACAAATGTGGTTTAAAATAATTATTGTAAATAAATTTATAGGTTGGTTATTTTCCCAGTGCATGCGGAGCACAGTCATTGTCATCTTTGTTAGACGAAGTATCGCTTCTCCGTCATTGCAATAGTTGGACTGGTGGTCGAGTGCCACGCCAAGCAGCAGTTGAAAGATTCCGTTATTTCGTTGCCGAAAATGCTACCATATTGGCTTTATTAGAAGAACCTCTCGGAAACGATCAGGATCCACAGCCTACTGTAACTGTATTAATACGTGGCCCATTTGGCAGACATGCATGGACATTACAGCTTCGCCATTTACCACGACATAGGTCCAGTATACGAAGTGTAAACACAAATCCAGGTCGACCACTGCCACTAGCGGAAGCTGCACCACGTACAGACTACAAGCCTAGATTTTTCCCGGATAACGTGGACAGAATTCCTCATTGTAAAGTGTATGTTGTATTTTCAAAATATTTATATTTGCATTTAGAAAGTAAATTTTACTGAAAAGATCAAACATTTTGTTAGGGATGAATCTATACCAAGTCTTGAAGCAGTCATGAACGACAATGATGTAATAAGAACTGAACATCAAATTTTATCACAGTTATTGGAACGTCAGATGAATATTGAAACAAAATATTGTGATGGTTATGATAAAGTTTCAGACGAGAAATCGGAGGAATGCGCACCACCTCAAATTTGTCACGAATTTCAGACGGCGCGTCTTTTTTTGAGTCATTTTGGTTTCCTAAATATGGAACCTAAAGAAAATGACGAATCTAGAAATGGTAGTCTTACTGCATTAGACCCAACCATGCCGGGATTTTGTTTAGACTTAGAAACTTTAGATAATATTAGTCCACGAACATGCGACACTGTATATATTTTTTATGTTAAACCTGGTCAAAAGAATTCTACAGAAATATTGTCTAATGTGGTAATTGCATTTTTTATTTCACAATGTTGCATTGCTGTAAGTTCTCTTTATGTAAAGAATTTTCATGTTTGCAGTTACATGAAATGAATGTATCGCCAAACTTTTTGGAATTCTTAAATTCACTAGGATGGCCTGTCTCTGTATCAGCACATGCAGGTTGGACTGGTCATGTTTCCACTTCCTGGAGAGTTACACCACAAGTGAATGTACCACAACCAGCTCATAGTGATCATGGTGGAGCTCTTTACAATGGAGATACTCATGTTCTTTATTGGGCAGATGTTAGCTCTGAAATTGCTTTTGTCGTACCAACTCAATCAAATAATATGCAAAATTCAGATTCGTTAGAAGAATCAAGTTTCGGCAGTGACATTAGTAATAATCAAGGTATAGTTTAAGTAAAATACATGTAAAGTAATGTTTGATTAGTGGATATAAATGTATCTTAAACATTATCTTATGTATAATTGCACAATAACTAATCATTGCAGTTTGGTTTGAAAGAAGCATCAGTGAAAGTACTAGTTCTAGGAGCTGTGGAACGGGGCAGAATACAGTACAAAACCCACGAACGATGTCACTTGATTTAGAAAAACAACCACCTAGCTTGACAGGATCTAATCCTTCCAATTCTTCTAGCGCGGATCCAGTAAAACCGAGAAGAACAACCAAACAAGTTTTACCTGTACAAACTGATATTAAAATTATGGTCGTTTGGCTAGAAAGTTTAGAAGATTATGCGCAGTTTCCAATTGGTATTTCGACTATAAATTATATTAATTTTTGATGTTAAATGTTCAGAATTTTGAGATCATATTTTATGTATAGGTGATCTTCTTCCCTGTACTTATACTGGTCTTGAACAATCTAGAGTAATACAAGTATCAGATGTACAAGTAATATTCCTCCAAGCACTTAGTAGTGGATTAATGAGAGTCAGATTACAAGGTCCAGTTTCTAGAATTAATTTGGCTACACCCTTAATTGATGGTATGGTTGTATCTAGAAGGGTATTGGGAACACTTGTCAGACAAACTGCATTAAATATGGGACGTAGGAAAAGGCTTGATAATGACAGGTACATAAGATTATAACTATACTTGCATAGTATTGATATGAATAATATTTTATATTTTGCAGTTACCATCCACCACATGTACGTAGGCGCTTGAAGATTCAAGAAATGGTACAGAAATACAGAAAAAATTTAACTGATCCAGAATTATTAACACTTCTATTTAGTAGCACACAAACTTATCAAGTTTAGCAAAATTAAAATTGAATAAACCATATGTTATATTTAATATTTTCATATTTTGTAATTTAAATAATTAATATATAATACCTTAAATAAAGTTTTAATAGGATAAATAATGAACAATTGTAAGAGCACTAATTTTAGTAAATATTATAAAAAATTTAAAGTCAATATTGTACTTCGTTTGTCATATTATTTTATAATGCAATATAATGCAATAATATTTATCAAACAATATGTATTATGTTATCATAAAATCGGAAAGTTAATATTTATTTATATTATCGAAATATGATATAAGATATAAGCAATTATAATGAATAAAACATTTATTACTGTGCAAGAAAATCACAGTAGTGAGAAGAATGACTTGCTACAGTAGAGTGTAATTATATAACGATATAATTCTTCTTTGTGCTTCTTTCTTCTGCCTCTATTGGTATGTTTAGACAACATGTCATTTGACAACTAAAGTAGGGGTCATATTGATTTGTAAAATGATTTCTCACAATGTATTCAAGGTCCTTTCATAAGTTCCTAACATAGTTGATCCCAAATAACATTACCATTTAATATGTAAACATTATTATATAATTTTGCATACATTTGCATAATCTTATCAATGATTTATGGATGGTAATACAACAATGAAATAGATTATTTTTTACAGTAAACATTTATGAACTTATATTATCATTACAAAAAATATATCATATTTGCATAAAATTGAGACATTCTAGAAGAGAAAAAATAATTAATATAATTGAACTAAGATTTTCGTAATAATTAACTAAAATCTTAGAAACATAAAATGATTGCAATATGTTGCGAAATATTGTTAGTAATCATGTTGATATCAATTGTATTAATAGCAAAAATTAGTTGTTATGTCATCCTATATAATTGTATTGCTACTTCAATGCAGAACCGTAATTAGAGTTTGCGGGACTTGAGGCAGAAATCAAAATTGTTTTCGACGTTATCAGATGTTGCTTCAAATCGTTGATAAGGATGGCATTAACGAGTACTTACATTAATACTTGCAATATTGCTACCATCGGGATTGTAACAATTGTCAACTTGAAAGATAGTCTTTCCATGAAACGTTTTGCAAATTCGTAAATTTGAAAATTTAGGTGCAGGGCCCTACTGACTCTCGTGTGTTTAACGCAAGCGGCGAAACTATTTCAATGTAATACTACAAAACGATGTATTTTTTCATTTAGGTAAAAATTCAAGCTTATTATTAAACATAAATAATTATATGTGTTTTAATAATCTATTACTCTATATTAGATACAATTAAATATGTATAATATGAATTATGAAAATATTTAATTTATATTATCAAAAAATGCATAAACTATGATAAAACATATTTTATACATTCGTGCTAGAAAATTGATACTAAGTATGACTACATGATACGCAATGTGTTTTATTCGAGAGAAATCATGATAACAATACGCTTATCTATTTGGCATGACGAATCAAAAAATGAACAAATAGTATATCGGCGCTATATATCTATCAATACAAGGTAGATGTTTCAAACAGAAAAATGTACAAATACCTTTATATGGTATATATGGTAACATTTATTATTAACTACACGTTATCAATAAATACAAAGGCATTATTAGATAATGCAATATAAAAATGCATGTGCTATAATCAAAAGTAAGATTGTGCGATAGAATTAATTAGGTATATTATTCTATTAATAATAAAAGTTACCTAGCAATTACAAGTATTCTTTATTTCGTTGATTAATATTTTCATTTTTGGTTGAAAAGCTATTTCATTTCAAAATTAAACCATTATTTTAAGATCATATATGTGTGGTGAAACTAACATGACGTAACTTCTCTTGATTGGACAACTGTTATAATGTGAATTGGGCGCTGCTCAGGCACAGTTTACGTTAGCTTGAGAAAGTAAGACGGTGGTTACATGCCATTAGCTTAGTTTCATGTTCAGTGTGGAATTGTAAAATTTTTTTTATTGAGTAGTTGGAGGTCAAATACAACCATCAATTAAAATTAAAAATAGCTATTTTGCAACGTGTAACTACTTTATTTCGTTTAGAAAATCTATACAGGAACACAATAAGTGTAGTTCGCATATAACTGGATAAAAAACCAATAAACTAGTAAATGTATCGCTATGGAGGATTATGCTATGGATCAATTTTGTGGTAGTAAATTTTGGGTAAGATTGTGTACTTTACTTATATATTGAATCTCCTTTTTTGTTATTCTTAAAGTGTAAGGTATTTGGACGAATCTCAGATGATATCACTTCATTGTTTAATACATAAAAATGAAATAAATAGAACACGCTTTTACGATAATACAATAACCTTTAAATGATGATAAGTAATGAAAAGAGATTGTTTTAATTAAAGAACGTCTGAAAGTGTATTTCTCTATATTTTAGGATAATGATTTAGCATGGAATACCACAGATCCAGATGTCCCTGAGTGTTTTCAAAAGACTGTATTAGTATGGGCACCATGCGCATTTTTGTGGCTATTCTCTGCCACGGAAGTTTATTATTTCTTAAACAGTAAAAGGAAAAATATTCCATACACATGGTTATTTATTACCAAACAAGTACTTATGTTAACATTGATTTTACTTAGTATTATTGACATAGGAAATGCAATACACAGGAGTAATTATGAACAGGTTTATAATGTTGATTATTATACACCATTTATAAAAATTGTTACCTTTGTAAGTATTATTTATCATTTCTCTTTAAACAATACAAAGATTGATTTAAGATGATAACATGGCTTTTATTATTTTTTATAGATTATAACAGTTGTTTTAGTAATATATAACAGAAAATATGGAATGCGAACTTCTGGATTATTATTTTTATTTTGGTTTCTACTTGCCTTGTGTGGACTTGTTCAATATAGAAGCATAATAAGGTCATATATTATAAAGGTATGTCCAAATTTCTAAGTTCCTCAAGATTCCTAGTATAATAACATATAATAATATGTTTTAAAAATAATTTTTTTAGGGTCAAGTAACTTATCCATTTATATCATATATGATATATTATCCAATAGTGGTACTTTTATTTTTTCTAAACTTTTTGGTTGATGCAGAACCTAAATATTCAGAATATCCCAAGGTAATCAAATATGTTTTATTCATGTTATTCTAATATGATGGAAATTAAACTTTATAGCTTAATATTTATTACACCTTTAGGTTGACAAACCATGCCCAGAACAAGGTTCTTCCTTTCCAGCAAAAGTATTTTTTACATGGTTCGATTCAATGGCATGGAGTGGTTTCAGAAAACCGTTGGAAGTTACCGATTTATGGTCTATGAATCCAGAAGATACGGCTACGGAAATTGTACCTAAATTTGATAAATATTGGAATAAGAGTTTACAAAAAACAGACAAGTGAGTGTGACATTTCTAGATATTTGATATTAGAAGTTAAGAGCAAAATAGTAGAAATGAATTAATACAAGTGGAAATACTTCATCATTTATTAAATTAGTAATACATAAAATATCAATCTACTTTTGCTAACAAGAATATTTTGGGCTTATTTTAGGTAAGTTCATTAAAACATTTACTTAATGGGTTAATTAAGTGTAAGCATGATCTTTATGTTTCCAGTGTACAAAGCACTAAGGCATCATTCAGGAAAGCATCTGGTCAAGTAGATTTTAATAATGGACGTAAAAAGAAAGTGACTTCAATTTTACCACCACTTTGTAAAGCATTTGGTGCTACATTTTTATTTGGAGCTGCACTTAAGTTTTTGCAGGATATTATAATTTTCGTTAGTCCACAAGTACTTAAGTGAGTATACTATATTTTAATGTAATATAATGAAATTTTACTTTCTAAATTCTAATTACACGAGTCACATACTTTTTCAATTTAGATTACTCCTCAAGTTTATCGAGGGACAGGAATCAATATGGAAAGGTTACTTATATGCAGTTTTGCTTCTAGCAACAGCAACGTTTCAAACATTAATTTTGTCGCAGTATTTTCATCGTATGTTCTTAGTCGGATTACGTGTACGAACTGCTTTAATTGCTGCAATTTATCGGAAAGCATTAAGAATATCTAATGCTGCTAGAAAAGAATCAACAATTGGTGAAATAGTAAATTTAATGTCCGTCGATGCGCAAAGATTTATGGACTTGACGGCATATATAAATATGATTTGGTCTGCACCACTACAAATAATCTTAGCTTTATATTTTTTATGGGATATATTAGGACCAGCCGCACTTGCCGGTCTAGCTGTCTTGCTTATTTTAATCCCGGTGAATATATTGATTACAAATAGATTGAAAACACTGCAAATTAGGCAAATGAAATATAAAGATGAAAGAGTTAAATTAATGAACGAAGTACTTAATGGTATAAAAGTATTGAAGTTGTATGCATGGGAGCCATCATTTGAAGAACAAATATTAAAAATACGTACGAAGGAGATTAAAGTGTTAAAGGAAACAGCATATCTCAATTCTGGGACAAGTTTTATTTGGTCGTTTGCTCCGTTTTTAGTAAGTTGCAAGTTTAACTGTATTACTAAATATAACATATTTTTTATTTTATGTTTTTCAATGAATTTTTAGGTATCTTTGGTATCTTTTGCAACATATGTACTTATAGATGAAAATAATCGTTTAGACAGCAGTGTTGCTTTTGTTTCACTTAGTCTTTTCAATATCTTAAGGTTTCCTCTATCTGTATTACCGATGATGATTGGTAATATTATTCAGGTAGATAAAAATTTGTGAATTTAATTATCATATACGTAACGTATCACGATTAACAATAATTTTTTTTTTAAATAATATATAGGCATATGTTTCTGTGAAACGTATAAACAAATTCATGAATGCAGAAGAGTTGGATCCTAATAATATTCAACATGACCCATCTGAACGTAAGTTTATTAATTATAATATATTTAAAGAGAAGATATGTCTACTAAAATGTATTGATATAATACAGCATATGCATTATTAATTGAGAACGGTACCTTTGCGTGGGATATGGAAAATATTGATAAACCAACATTAAGGAATATCAATCTGCAAGTAGAGCAGGGTCAATTAATAGCTGTTGTTGGAACAGTAGGATCTGGTAAAAGTTCTCTTATATCGGCACTTCTGGGAGAAATGGAGAAAATAAGTGGCAGAGTTAATACAAAAGTAAATATTTCTGCACAATTTGAATGACAAATAGTTTCGGTAGAAAAAACATTTGTTATGTATATGTTATTTATTGTGAACAACAGGGATCTATTGCGTACGTGTCTCAGCAAGCATGGATACAAAATGCGTCGTTACAAAATAACGTTTTATTTGGAAAACCACTTCATAAAAATATATACGATCGTGTAATTGAATCATGTGCATTGAATCCCGATTTGAAAGTATTGCCTGCGGGTGATCAAACAGAAATTGGAGAGAAGGGAATAAATTTATCTGGTGGTCAGAAACAAAGAGTAGCGTTAGCAAGAGCAGTATACAATGATTCGGATATTTATTTTTTGGATGATCCCCTAAGCGCTGTAGACTCGCATGTCGGAAAACATATATTTGAAAATGTAATTGGTTCTAATGGACTGCTTAAAAAGAAGACGAGAGTACTAGTAACGCATGGCATCACGTACTTACCGGAAGTCGATAACATCATTGTCCTTCAAGATGGTGAAATAACAGAAGTTGGAACTTACAAACAACTTTTAGAAAAAAAAGGAGCCTTTTCAGAATTTTTAGTGCAACATCTTCAAGAAGGTATATATTAATTTCTCTGTTCCTATAATTTCTCTATTTGATTTACTTATTAATTTTCAATTATATTTTTCATGGATCTAAGTTGGAAATCGTAAGTCAGTGAAAAAGTAATTACGATTCCTTTTCCTACTTCAATTTATGTGATTGTCCAGAAAGTGGTTTATATTGCGTTTGGCTTGTGAGATTAGAATATTAATGATGTTAGTATTTTTTGCAATTTGCTACTATAAAATCTTATCAGCCAGCTTATAGTATGCAGAAATCTTTACTACAATTTTTTTATCATTCTCTTACTATTGTATTTTTGTATAAAGTAAATGAAAAAACATGCATGTAGAATTGTTTTAGTGCATGTCGAACTTTAATAAGAGAGGCAGTGAGATTTTTATTTAATGAAGTATCATAATTAATTGTCTTTGCAAATTTATTTTTAAAATACTGTAATTAACAGCCATGACCTTTAAGTGTATTTGAAATTTTCATTTTAGTGTAAATGTATATCCCATTATTATTTTTCAAGTCTATAATAGTACATCTTTTCATATCTTTATTTTTATCACTTTTATATCCATTATAATAAATTTAAAACAGTACACGCTGATAATGGCTCGGAAGCAGATTTACAAGAAATTAAACAACAACTGGAGTCAACAATAGGATCAAGTGAGCTGCACCAGAAATTAACAAGAGCTAAATCAAGAATGTCCGAAAGTCAAAGCGAATCTGGTTCTATAGTTGATAGGAGATCATTAAATGGTTCATTGAAGAGGTAAGCTTTTCTTTTACATCATATATCTATTTTAATTATAACGTTTACCTACGTTTACTTTTAATATAAATTATCAAATATTTTAGACAGTACTCTACAGATAGTCAGCAATCTAGTACTCATCTAAGTAGCAATAATGTAAAGGAGGCAAAATTAATACATTCAAAATCAGCAGAAAAGCTAATAGAAGAAGAAAAAACTGAAACTGGAAGTGTAAGTGATTTTATAATATACTTTGTGCAGGAGATTTAAACAAAAATTTTAACCATATATATATTTATTTGTTTCTTATAAGGTTAAATGGAAAGTTTACTCACATTACTTTAAATCTATCGGTTGGTTTTTGTCCATATCGACTATTATAATGAATGCAATTTTTCAAGGATTTAGTATTGGTTCAAACAGTTGGCTTAGTCTATGGTCAAATAGCAATTTAACAACTTATAACGATACAGTCGATAAAGCTCAACAAGACATGTATCTTGGAGTCTATGGTGGACTTGGTATTGGACAAGGTATGTTATTAAATATGTAAAATATTTTCATACTTTTTATACAATAATAGAATATGTTAGTTTTGTTTAAAATTAGATTCTTGTAAAAAAAGCATATAAGGTAAGTTTACCTTTCTGAAGTGTATTCTGAACTGCAGCGACTACTTTTGATAATATAAAAAACTGTCTAAAAAAAAGCATGTTCCTTCACAGATTACACAGTTTTGAGGCTATTTCTTTAATTAATTTTAAACGAAACAGAAAATATACTTGTATAAATCTGTCACTAATCATTTAAATATTAACTTTTTTTTTTTCAAAATTTGTTCAAACACTAATCAAAATTAAAATACTAATAAATTTTTCTTTCCAAAATTTTAATCAAACACTAATCAAAATTAAAAATACTAGAAAGTCTCGTTAGTGTTTTAAAATACTAGTGCGAGTGTGGTTTGCTGTGTTTATAGAATTTTTACAAATTAATTTAAGCTTTGTAGTGACGTATGTTTAAATGTTATTACTTGAATTACTTTTATCATTCAAAATTAATTAATCTTTGTTTTGCATGTAGGTCTAGTATTTTGTTTACGTGTATGTACAAGCTCATGCAATATGTGTATCTCTTTAATGTTCAAGCATGAAGTAGAGAGGTCATAAAGCTTTTTATCTTTTACCATAATTAAGACATAGAAAATTTACAATACATTTTATACATTTATATCAATGAAATATTTCATTCTATCATACATCAACATATTCCATTACATTGCTTATTACTTATTAAGGCATGAAATCCATTTAGCAAAGTCATTGACATAATAAACGTTAAATATACCACCAAGCAAATATGTGATAAACAGATAAGAATATTTACTGGCAAGTTTAAAAATACTACTATAAGTGTATGCATTAATTAATTTATTACATGAAATAAATTTCATCATGTATTTTTTTAAATAACACGTATCATAAAGTTCTTTATTTTATTATTGTAAATATATCTCAATACATGTGTGACTGCAGTAAGGAACCTGCATGTGGTGTTAGACAGACGACGAAGAATACTAAAAGCAATATTGTCGCTAAAAAAAGAAAATAACTTTTCCCTTGATTTAAATACATTACTGTACAATTTGAGTACTGCAAGAACTGCAATCCTTGTTGTGTAACTGTCAGATTTAATGATATATCCAAGTTATTACCAACCGTTGTAGGCGTGACAGTACTTGGAGGGGCTTTAATCATCGCAAAAGGATCAATACGCGCTTCTGTGCATCTCTTCGAGAGTACATTGCAGCGTGTTCTCCGGAACCCAATGTCGTTCTTTGACAAAACTCCAACCGGTCGAATTCTTAGTCGACTCGCTAAAGACACTGATGTCATTGATAATGTACTACCATCCATACTGCGTTCTTGGATTTCTAGTCTCTTTGGGGTATGATATTTTCACGTTGTAAATAATGTGCTTTAACAAACATGGATTCTCATACAGATATTATGGTCTAAGTTTAATGACAGTTACGATTGCTTATTGAGTGTAATTATAATTAATAAGATTAATATTTACATTTTTTTAGGAATGTCCGGGTAGCCCGATGTTGGCTACTCGAGCTTCTGGTCGGGTTTGGGAAAATTTGGGTGGGATCGGGACAGAATCAATTTGAAAAAATAAAAATTTAGAAAGGTTTTGAAATATGGACATTCTAAAATTTGGCTATCTGTGGAAATTAGAGAAATCCAGGAGTTTAGAAAAATATTTATATGCTAATAATACCTTAGGCCTCTCGACCGATCTCACACGAATTTTTCTGAGCTTAACCCGAGTCCGAAATCTCGAGTAGATTCACGATTTTTTAAAATTTGTTTTCTAATTTTAGTATTATTATTCATATAAATTTCATCAAGTTTTTACTAAAAGAAATTCACGCTTTTAGAGCCATTATGAAATACAATAATTAATTTTGAATATTATTTGCATGTTTGAATTAATCAAATTTTTTTTTAATACAAAAAGAATGTTGTACACATTAGATTATTTAGCTGCTAGATTTGTAAAGTAAAAACAGCATTATATTAAACAGAGGTTGAATTCACTTATGGTAATAACTTTGTGATACTTAAATTGACTGTTTATTTCTTTGTATTTAAATTAATTATTGTTTTCTTTTTTTATGACCGTAATATAAAAAAAGAAATTGTATCATATTGTAAACATATTCTGACTGTACTTTGTTAATGTATAGTATTCCATATATTTCTACGTTCGTGTATCCCAAATATTCATGAACCATTTGAAATATTTATTTATGCGTATATAACAAATTTGATCTGTATCATAAATGTCAATTCAGTACGTGTACTAGATTTTAGTTTTAGTAATTTGTTCAGCCACCAACAGACTATAGTATACAGAGATATAGAGCAATAATAATTGTAATTGCTAAGGTAATGGACACAATTATACAATCATTGTTTTGCATAGAAAGTTGATATCTTTTGTGCTTGGAAATATTTACATGTATCTGCTTTATTTCTTACTCTTTATGCTTTATTTACTTTTACTGCTTAAGCTTTTTATGTAATGTACCATTATGTGTGCCTAGCATGACCCTCCACAGCAAACTTCAAACCTTCTCACATAACATGAGACAGAATATTAGTTTGTTTTTATCAGAAACTATAAGAAATTGATTAAAAACTATCGATTAAAGTTCTACTAGCTTATGTATTAGTAAATAATACTTTGAAATATTTATATGATATTGAAATCAAAATTTACATAGAAATTTGGAACAGAAAGAAAAATTTCAAGAACGCCTTAGATTTTTGAAGTTCTGGCACATTCGTAATCATTTTAAGATGTTTAGAAATTGTTATTAGAGTGATTACAATGAAAGCAACTGATGTCTGATGTTGTAGCGATGGCGAGTTTTTTCTGCGATTTGGCACCGCAGCTGGGCTGTTGGTTGGCTGCTCGCCAGATGCACATAGTGATGCTGCGTGCTGTGATGCGTGCTCCATTGACCTTCTTTGATACGACTCCTATTGGTCGTATTATCTCCAGGTTTGCTAAAGACGTCGACGTACTGGATACATCTCTTCCTCAGCAAATTTCCGATAGCATCTATTGTTTGTTTGAGGTAATTTTTGGAAATGCCTGAACCAGATTAAGATGATTGGTTGTTATCATTTCCTTTCTATAACTCCTTCAATCATAATTCATTGGGTCTTCATATATCTCCATTTCACTAAAGGGTTTGTATTGGTTTTTATGTTGCTGTATTTCTTATTTAATATACAATAGACATTTATTTATTTAGCAATATTTTAACTCAACACGATTTATTACAGCTCAGCTCATTCAACGAAAATACTTTTAAATGTAGAATAGAATCCAAGATAAAGTATAATTGTGTCCATTTTAATACATTACAATTATGATTTATTATTTTAGAAATAGTACATATGATAGAAATATGCTTGTGATGGGTGGTAGAAAGTGGCTGTGCAAATATTCATTGAGTAAAACACATTGTTTGTATTCAATACATGTTTAAAAACATGGGTGTTCCATTTAATACACGCGATGGGTAATTGTGCTCGTAAAAGCGCAGTGCGTTGTATCAGTCTGATTATCAGATATAGGGATACATCTTTGCTTTTCCTTACACTGTTCCTAGACTTATTCTATCTTTATTGGCATAACTAGGCAGGGACCAAAGTAAACCTATGCTTCTCAAAAATCTTTTCTGGGTCTTCCCATGTATTCCCATAATTAAATATAAAAATTTCTTTAGTAAAGCTAAAGGACATGGCTCATCTTAGACTATCTTAGTTATGCCAATGTTTAGGCCTACCCTAGGTCTTCTTTACCTTCCCTAGTCTTGCCCTAGGATTCACTAGTTTCTCTGTGGGTCTTCTCTGTAAACTGATTTTCAATTCTTCCAAATTCCCCTTTTAGACAATCCCCAGACCTCTAGCAGCCTCAGTAGGTTCTCTCTAGAGTCTAGATTCACCCTAGGCGTGCACATCAGTGCCCATGTGTTCTTTAGTGGGCACTTGATTTGCCCATCACTGGTCTAACATACTGCATGATCATTAATTTATAATTTTTGTTAACCGTTTATGTTATGTTATATATGTATAATTATTTATTCTTTTGTTGCATATAATAGCAATATTTGATTCAATTTTACACTACATACTCAAAAATTCATCGAAAATACATTCTTCTTCCACAATGTTGCGTATTCATATTACAGGTCATAGCTACTTTAGTGGTAATAAGTTTTAGTACGCCAATATTTGTTGCGGTGATTGTACCAATAGGTGGAATTTATTACTTTGTTCAACGTATGTACGTTGCATCTTCACGACAACTGAAACGTTTAGAATCTATTTCAAGATCTCCCATATACTCGCATTTCAGTGAAACAGTTACTGGTATGTAAATCCATGTTGAATCAGTAGTCCATTAGTGAAATTTCAATGAAGCAACGAGAAATCCTATTTCTATAAAATCATACTGATAGTATTAATATTTTATTTACTAGGAACTCAAATGATTAGAGCATTTGGTGTGCAAGAACGATTTATTCGTGAATCTGAAAATAAAGTGGACTTTAATCAAGTCTGCTATTATCCTAGCATAATTGCAAATAGGTATAAATTTATTTTATGAGTTATAATATTAAATTGAAAAACTGATTGCAAATTATATAATTCATTATTGCATTGTAGATGGTTGGCAGTACGTTTAGAGATGGTTGGAAACTTAATCATCTTCTTTGCAGCATTATTTGCTGTATTAAATAAAGATACCATAAAATCGGGCGTAGTTGGTTTATCCGTTAGCTATGCCCTACAAGTAAGATTACATATATTTAACAACATAATGAGTCGTCTAATAACGCGATTTTTAAATAATAACAAATTATTGCTTTAGGTAACACAAACATTAAATTGGTTGGTACGGATGACTTCTGATGTCGAGACCAACATAGTAGCGGTAGAGAGAATAAAAGAATATGGAGAAACTCCACAGGAAGCTCCATGGAAAAATCCTAATTACACACCACCTAAAGAATGGCCAGTACAAGGAACAGTTGAATTCAAAGATTACAAAGTTCGCTATAGGGAAGGCTTAGAACTTGTACTTCGCGGATTATCATTTTCAGTTAAAGGAGGAGAAAAAGTTGGTATTGTCGGTAGAACCGGAGCTGGAAAATCCTCTTTAACATTGGCTCTATTTAGAATAATAGAAGCAGCCGACGGAAAAATTTTCATCGATGATATTGACATTGCTAAATTGGGACTTCATGATTTACGATCTAGATTAACTATTATTCCTCAAGATCCAATATTATTCTCAGGAACCTTAAGAATTAATTTAGATCCATTCAACTGTTACACAGATGATGAAGTTTGGAGAGCTTTGGAACATGCACATCTTAAATCTTTTATAAAAAGTAAATACAATGTCCTTTTCTTGATAAATAATTAATATAACGAACAGTTCAACACTGTATTACGTTCATATTTTTAGCTTTGCCAAATGGTCTTTTACACGAAATTACTGAGGGTGGCGAAAATTTAAGTATAGGTCAACGACAATTGATTTGTTTAGCAAGAGCATTACTTCGGAAAACAAAAGTACTTATACTCGATGAAGCAACAGCTTCAGTCGATCTAGAAACAGACGATTTAATTCAAACGACAATTAGGCAAGAATTTAGTGACTGTACGGTTCTCACGATAGCTCATAGGCTTAACACAATCCTTGATTCAGACAGGTATGGTTTAGAAATATATGTTTTAAAATATGAAATAATATTAATTGAAAACGTTTCTTTAGGGTCATTGTCCTGGATAAAGGACTGATTATGGAATACGATTCTCCAGAAGCATTGCTACGCAATTCATCTAGTTTATTCCACAATATAGCTAAAGATGCAGGTCTTGCACCTTAATTAAAGTGCATATCATGAAAATTGTACAAGCAATAAAAAAAAGATACAGATTTTTAATTCGTAATAGAAAAAAATAAGGAGAAAAGTATAGCAGGCACGAAATATTCTTAGAATTGAAAGGAAAAAAACAAAAAATTTTGTAGAACAACTTTCTTTGATTAAATTGTGCGCTATATTTAAATAACGTTCAATGCAGCCCACTTATAATAGTAGTACGGATGTCCGTTACTTGTACTGCCATTTTAGTAGCACATTCTGTGCTGAATAGTATAAGTTTATAAACATATACACAGTGACTTAACAGATTCTTGGTTATAGGAAGTTTTAATCATTTTAAAAACACACCTCTCACGATCACGTATAATTAAACAACATGGGTCACGAACAAAATAGAACAGTATTGTTTACTTACCTTTATTTTTAGTCAATTTTATTATGCCCACTGTTCTACTATAATGTTTTGTTATAAAATTTGTCACACATAAGTGTAGCATTATTTATCTATCCTGTTTATTTATCTTTTTAAGCTTTTTATTCCTATTTGTACTATTAATATTATATAACGTATCGTTATGCTGTGTGAATACTCGCAAATTAAAAAACTTTTAAAATAACAGTTTTGTATAATAATAAAACATTTACTCTTGTTATTTGTTGATTTGTTTAAATGTTACATAACTAACGTATTATATGTATTAAAACAAATTTTAGTGCCATACACTGTGAAATTATAGAGAAGCGCTTTTAAACTAATATTTTTCTCATAATACTTAACATTTTGCAAAAAAAGAACAACAATACTGTTCGCGATATGATTGTTGTTAACAATTTCTCAATTATCTAAACTATATTTAATATAAGTGCTTTCAATAATTGCTTTTAATAAACAATTATGTACTCACAAATTGTATCTGAAAAAAATACAGTTGGTGTGGCGTTAAACAAAATATCGTAAAAAAAATTTCAAATAAAATGAAAATAGATTCTACTTAATTGTATTTTTTAAATGTTACATGCAAGGTCATAACAATACGTATTTTAATTATATTCATTTCTTTAGCATAAGCAATTTAGTCCCATTACAAATTTTGTAATTATGGAACAGTGATTGGGAGATCAAGTGCCCATCGAAGAGCTCATGGGCACTATAATGAATGATGATGTGTGCAGAATTTGGAAATTTGGAAATTTAAAAATTTCTGATATGAAATAACGAAGTATAGAATGTGATACTTATTCCATCTATCGATGACGTTGAGCACTATGTATCGTGTCTCCGCTATCGCTCTTTTTCACATAATAATATAACCTCATTCTAAACTTACATCGCGTGCGACAACTTGATAAATAAAGTTTTCCATAAACACTGATCGAAAACATTAATATTAATATAGTGTTATTTATCTTTCTTTTGTAAATAAATATAATTTCTCAAGTCATTCTTCGCACATGGTTATATTAGTAATTTAAGTTGTCAGTGTAATGAAATTTGAGTGTCAAAAATGAGTGATTCTGAGAAAGATGATGAACCTAAAGTGACAGGACCTGTGGACAATGCTTGGTCGTTAAAAATCCCAGCTTTTAAACCAGAGGATAACCCCAATCGTCTCCTGGAAGAAAGTTCTTTTGCAACACTTTTTCCAAAGTATAGGGAACAATACTTGAAAGAACATTGGCCATTAGTTCAAAAAGCTTTAGCCGAACATGCTGTTAAAGCAGAATTGGACCTGGTTGAAGGGAGTATGACAGTTAAAACAACAAGGAAAACATGGGATCCTTACATTATTATCAAAGCACGTGATATGATTAAACTTATGTCACGTTCTGTTCCATTTGAACAAGCTGTTAGAGTACTACAAGATGATATTGGTTCAGATATCATAAAAATATCTTCTTTTGTCAGAAACAGGGAAAAGTTTGTTAAGAGACGGCAGAGGCTTATTGGTCCTAATGGTTGTACTTTAAAATCCATTGAATTATTAACAAATTGTTATGTACTTGTACAAGGACAAACAGTTGCCGCATTGGGTCCTTACAAAGGCCTGCAACAAGTTAGACGCATTGTGGAAGATACTATGAAGAATATTCATCCAATTTATAACATTAAAGCATTAATGATTAAGAGAGAGCTAGCTAAAGATCCAAAATTAAAGAATGAAAATTGGGAAAGGTTTCTTCCAAGGTTCAGTAGTAAGAACATTAGTAAGAGGAAACAGCCTAAAAAGAAGAAGGAGAAGAAACCATATACTCCATTCCCACCACCACAGACAGAGAGTAAAATAGATAAGATGATAGCATCTGGTGAATACTTCTTGAAGGAGGAACAGAAGAGAGCCAAGTTGAAGAAGGAACAAGAAGCTAGACACCAAGAAGCAGAAAAGAAGAGACAAGAGCGTAGAGCACAAGCGTTTATACCTCCTGAAGAGAAGCCTAAAGTAAGGAAAGAGCAGAAAACGGATATAAACTTGGAGGAGTTCAAGAAAAAAGTGAAGAAGGGGTTGAAGAAACGTAGTACATAACAGGACTTAGTTTTAAGAATAAAATAAGATATATGTTGATAAATTATCACTTGAGTAAATAAATACAAGTTTCTGGAATAATTCCATCATTTTATTAAAAAAACCTTGTTCCTATAAGTATCATAATATCGCATCCTTACCATACAAGTATAAATATATATAAACATACACTTACTGTATATATTTATATATATTCTTTTTCCACTCCAATATTATACATTTGCAAAATACAGAGTCGTAGAAATACAATGTGTACACTTTGAAGACAGGTATTTGGACTGGAAAACGAATGTCCATATATTTATGTGTATATTTTCAAGATTATTTTATTAACGGAAATTGTAAATTCGTTACAATTTCAATGCAAGGGATAAACGACGTTTCCCTTTGACAGTCCTTCACAAATGAAAACTTTGAAACAAGTAACTCATTTGGCTATTTTTAAATATTAAAAATAATGTTAACACACCGAGTCTTCAATCTAATGGCTACCTCAGACGATCAAGGTATATTGTCAATACTTCAGGGTTCTCTATAATATTGTATCGACAATATACAGTGTATACTGACTGCCTGAGGTTTCCATATTGAATTAGAATGTCTTCAAACAAATATCATAATGTGATATAAAAGTAAGGGGAGTATTAAAATCTAATATACATATATTGATCATGAGAATCCTGAAATAATAACAACATCATTTATCTGCGGTCTTTGTACGGAAATAGAATTTCTTTAAACATATACCACGATGTAAAAGTAACAGGCATATTAAAAGTTAACAATATATGTCACAGATCACTTTGCCTCGTTCCTAGAACAAGAAATCGTGACATGTTGCACCATCATAATAGCACAGCCCTCCCACTCGAGGCTTCGTCTTAACAAATACAAGCCTAATGAACAATTCAACGTATCGTACGGGAAATCGTGTATATTCGTTTTCAATGTACAGCGCAATCTGTTATTGTATCCCGGTCGAGCACCAAGTCGATAGTGCTCGACAACGAGCAAATTGCTCTGCTAGCTTAACGTTAAGTCGCTCGTTATCTTACAGTTTACAGATCATGGAAGTACAACGTGTCTCGTAAGCTTACGTTTCCTAAACATGTCATATGTACAATTTATTACGCACGGTTATGATTGCTTCGTGAGAAACACGCGACGAAAGCGGTGAACAATGTAGCTGCATACTGATGGGCGCTTTCAAGCAGTTTGCTTGCTGTACAGTTTCAAATCCTTTATGATACTTATCCGTAGTGAACATTGGCGCAATCTTTTTTAGGAGTGGGCACCTTGGGAGTTAAAGAATTTAGGGAGACTCGGAAATTTGCAAGTTTGAAAATTCGTACTGAGTTTGTAAGGGGTCCTACAACCCCTATGTTATATGGAATGATCAATCATGGAGGCCCACTCTGTTCTGTAGCTACGCCAATTTCGTGACATTTCTTTATAACTAAAAAATGTTTTAAAAGATTTGCAATCTATTCAACACCAATCTGATAACGAAGAAAGTACTCAGAGACACTTTAGGACGGGAGATATACGATTAAATCGATTATGTAGTATAATATGATTCACGAGTTACATCGAGAAAAAGGGATCGTACCCTTTAATCTTGTTTGTTCGATTACAATGTCTTGTATCTCTGAATGACTTTCTGGAGGGCTGAGAAAAAAGGCCAGTAATTGCATTTTTACTTGCAGCTTAATTTAGAAAAGAATTTGAAGGATTTAATCGAGATTTTGTAAACAAAGGATTGGACAAAAGAAAGTATTTGTTAAGCGCAAGGTTTCATCAAAATCGATGCTGAATACAGTAAGATCTGTCTGACAGTGTAATTCGTATATATGATCATTTAACAGATCTCACTGTATCTTTCTTAAAGCACAAGATCCGTGTATGTACAATTAGTATCCATCGCATAAATTCCTAGTTATTGGTTTCAAGTATAGTCCGAATGAGCCTAATTCTTCGAGTAAAAACAACCACTCTTAATGTACAGCGTTCCATAAAGCTACGAGCGTGTGTATAGGCGATTAAAAGGGCGCGCTTGTAGTATCATACAAAAGCTTACAGTAGTAACTTCGTTAGCGTAATCACGATGTACGTATTCGCGTACGTATGTACGAACGTGTGTTAGTGTCAATGCGAGATGACGGCAGTAAGATCATTGTCGTCGTGAAAGTATAAGTGTACAAAAGATCATCCCCTTGCTACGTATTGCTGTATTAGTCGCATCATTTTCTCCCTTTCAATAAGCTCGACGCGTTCTACATACTCAACGAATGTCGTCGTTCGATACAAAATTTCATTCTCACGACTAGAGATGGATCCCTGTTACGCAGAGCCAGCGTAATTGCAAGAACAACGCTTTCGTTGTACACAAATACGTATAAAACGCGTCGAGCTTTCGCACAACCAAGTAAGTATACGATTTCTTATACAAAAATAAATCTCTTTCGTGAGAATTGTAGCGTACGCCTTTGATCGAGAAGTTTGATCGATTCACGCCGCGATCGAGCTCGAGGCTGTACGTGTATAATAAGTTCAGCTAAGAAAGAAATAATCGCGACAGTTTTTATCTTTACCGCTGGTAGAAACCGCTGTATCGAAAACAACTACGATTCTGTGAATCGATTCGAAAATAATGAGAATTTCATAAATGCTTCGTTGGAAAGAAAATCGGTCGATAAAACAGGTTTTCTCGTTTATACGATAGTTTGAGATCATCGATGTTAAGACAAATGCACCGGGACGCAAAATACTTCGAAAGCAGACTTCCAGGATCGACCTGCCGTATCAGAATGTTCTCTTAGCATCTTTCTAAAAGGCGAAACTTCAAACCCGCTTTCTACTCGATTCGGAAAGGTAAAAATAAAAAACGAAGCTCTCCCTTGACAAAATATGACGTCTCCGTAATCTCACTAGTAAATGTTACTCCCGTTCCGCTAACACCTTAATCAAGAATCTCGTAACAGTCTCATCGATACGAGTATATATACGTATATCATACAATCGTCCATCGGCTCGAGAAGGTTCAATTATCGTCCGATACGATCGAGCAACCTCGATCTAGGATCGATCAAGTCACTCGTCCTGATCAGATCGACCCGTCTTCTTCTGATCAGATAACGCACTCCTTGAGTCCTTCGCGAGTGACGACGGCACCGCGACTTTCACGAGCCACTTATCCTGTTGCTCGCGAGCTAGTGATTATGGTTGTACAGGTGCCACCTCTGCGTCTCGGCATTCGAGTCGCATTTCTCCGCGGTGATTCCTCTTTGCGCGTGGTATCTCGAGTCCACGCACACAGGGATCCTCGAATGACGAATCAGACCACCCTCCAGGTGCCTCCACTTCTGGTTCTCGCTGCCGTCGCAAATCTGCATCAGCAACGTGGTGCCTTTCGCGTACACCGGCAGGGTGAGACAGAGATCGTGGTGCTTTATCAGACCGTCCTTTGTTAGGCCCCATTCCTGGAATAATAAAGGCGATTACGGATTAACAGAATATTGAACATTGAACAGAATATTTTAACTCGGAGTTGGACTTCTAGATTTTAACATTTGAAAATGAGAACCGTCTCCAAGTGCGGAACTTCGAATAAATTTTTGTTCCAAGATAAGAAAGCTTTAAGGAAAATTTATTTCAGGAATTTGTGTCCATTACGTCCGAGGAAGCGAAAATTTTGTAAGAGCCGTGGTGATAGAAAACCGAAGACAAACAACCGGAACATCGTCGTATTTTCATTTTCTCCGCTGCGGAACTTCGCGGGAGCGGCATCCCTTAATCCGTCCTCGCAGACGGGCGCAATAATTGAAACGTAAAATTGAATACACGGATTAATGGATAAAATAGTTATTTCTAGGAAGCATCGGAGTTTATGTTCGACCAAGCATTTGGGTTAATAACATGGGTATTATCAAAACGTCCCTCTACCCACCACACTGTAACCATTAATTTCTTCCTTATCCCGTTTACTAATCCCTCAAAAGCTATTTATTCGTACTTTGCACGAGAGATTCCGATAAGAGCTGTTTTATCGAGGTCAATTGCGCCAATTGAATTTATTAATTAAACTCGGCGATCGTTAATCAAATTTACCGAAGTTTGGTTGACTAGAATCGGGGAACAAATTCATTTTCCTCCGCGGACGAGACACCTGTTTTACGGTGAATAATGAACCCTCGTACTTACTTGGTTACCACCGGTGTCGTGACACGGATAAAGTCCTACATTGCCGTCTAGTAGATGGCCCATGCTATCCAAGCATGCCGGTCCTTGTTTCAAAGATCCTCCAGGACCACCCTCGCTGGTGGGTATAACCAACTCAGGATACACGTTTTTCAGATACCAGCTGAACGGCTTGCAGTGCAATTTCCGCTTCAGCTCCATTCTGTCCTGAATACTAAAACGAGACAGGGGGAACGGCGTTTTATTAATACGGCTTTCACGTGCTCCGACGCGTTTTAATGAAATCGACTATCGGTATTTCGTCCCGTTCGCGACCCGTAAATCGAGCTTCTTTCACGCCGTAAGACGGCGCAGAAATTAGAATGTGATGAACGATCGGAGGCACGAGTGAAACAATTTTTACTGAACATCCACAACTCGGATAAAGTGAAACATGTACAGGTACGAATTTTTGTAGGGCTGAAATCAACCTCTACAGATTTAGCTATTTTTTATTTCATTTTGTAACTCGAGGTCTGCAAGAGACAGAAATGTTACTTCTTTTAATCGCGTGTACAAAAAATGATTTAATTAGAGAATAAAAATTGTAAATAATTTTTCTAAAATTCTCGAGATGTGTAGCTTCATATAAAAGATTCGTTCAACGAGTCGCGACAAAAATTCTCAGTGACTTCACAAAGGCTGAATCGATTCGCGGAGCTGAAAATTTATTGAAAAGGTTCTCACTTTCCGTAAGGTATATTTCGCGCCAGCGGGACCGCATTGTAGTAGAACTGTTTATAATCGTCCATCCACACCTCGGCTGCTCGTCTGGTGTTGCGGGCGAACACGTTCCCGCTCCCCCCGGGGAACGAGTAGGGGTGGCGTTTACGAAACACGTGGCCGACACGCGAGCACGGAATAATCTCCAGGCTGCCACCGCATTGCCACACTCTGAAGGAGATTTCTGTGGAAAGGGGCTCGATAAAAAAACCTTCTCTATAAATTCACGAAAAAAGCTCGTTTTCTCACCGAGATTCTCGCCACCCCAAACGTCCATCTGGGTGTCGTACTTGCCGAGCTTCTCGAAGTACGCCTTGTTGATCACGAACAAACCGCCCGCGATCATCGGTGTTCTGATCGCTTGCGTGGGATCCTTCTGTCGGGCTAGTCTCTCCGATTGACTCAGATATTCCCATTTGAATACCAAGCTCCAGTCGAAACCACCCCTGAGATCCGCTGACGCTCCTGAACAATGGCAAAATTGGACTTGAAAGAAGTTTTCACGCCACGAGGGAACGAAAGCAGAGGGAAAAGAGATCGTTCGAGCCACCTGAACCTAATCTCGTTGAAAGAAAAGGACATAGGGTGCTTCGAAGATGGAAACTACAGGGTTTCTACGAGACAATCTTCTCTCCGAAGTAACACGAAATTGGTGACGCGGAAGGGCTCGGGAAAACGGTAAATTTCATTGACTGGTAGAAGTGAAAAGGGAGAATACTTTATAAGCATTTAACGTTGTTATTATAAATATTAATAAATACTTTTCGTACAGTGTAAGAGCACTAGAAGAGGAAGAGGGAGAATATGTCTTCATAAGTATTTAATGTTGTTATTATAAAAATTAATAAATAATATATTTCGCACAGTATGGGAGCACTAGAAGACGAAGAGGGAGAATATGTCTTCATAAGTATTTAACGTTGTTATTATAAAAATTAATAAACAATATATTTCGCACAGTATGAGAGCACTAATCCTTCATTCTTTATCATAAATTTGATCTCCCTGATTATTTCACGACGCTCATGGATAAAAAATTGATAATTATGATAGAAGTACCGATATATTGGAAGGTATCCATGCTTATGACGTCAATAACAGGGCATACGACCCTCGTAGGATCTTCAGCAACCCTCTCCAAAAGGGGTTCCAGCCAGTCCGCGTTGCATTCACAATGCGAGTCGAGGAACGTTAATACGCTCGCGGTGGCTGCATCCGCTCCTCGCACCCTCGACCTCATCAAACCCTCTCTCTTTTCGTTGCGTATCACTCGCACTTTGTGTATCCTCGACAGCTCTTCACCATCCTCGGCTGCAAACAAAGCGGGTGAATCGTCACGAAGTCCGTTCATTATATCGAGACATTATGGAGAACGAGTGACATGTATACCAGCTAATATCGCGTTCTCATTTTAATTACGAAATATCAACAAGCTCGAGAGAATTTAGAAACTTTATTAAAAATTCAAATTTGAGCTTAGAAAAATAGTTTCGACAGAAAACTTACGATGATCACTGAAGTCGTCTACTAGAATGATCTCCTTGATCAGATGCTCGGGGCTCCTGTTTAAGACGCTGAAAAATAATCAAAGTTTAATCGTTTATTTCTGCTGTTCTAATTTCATCGAGTAATTCAGTCCTGAATGCGGCAACGATCTTAAATAACTTTCCCTAAATAAGTTTTTCCCGGTGGCGCACCCTCGTCCCCGGAAACTCGCTTACCGTCACCGGGAAAAATTCTTCCCGCGAAGAGGGTAATCTTGTTCGAGTCAGCCGACGTTACCCCGTGTGAAGATCTTTCAATTAAGGGATGGACGTTCGTGAGGGAAATGCTTGATTCGTGTCACTGTACCGAAGGAAAAGCCGTAGGAATATTCCGAATCCTTTAAGCCGATGTACACGTACATTTTATGTGGAATTACAATTGATGAAATACTATTTCCAGAGAGATTTACGTTTTAGTCAGGACTTTGAATAGTAGTTACCACAAATATATTGGGAAGTTATATTTTATAGGGTCAATGTGTAAATTTCTAGGTGTACCTTTGTACATAGGATCAAGTATTGTATGTCCTCTAAAAATTCCTATCAACACCTTTATATTCCACGCGTGATTTATCGCCATAATGGGCAGGGAACGATGGAACGACGATTAGAAAATTCCACGAGTCTCGTGTCAAGAATTTTCTCGCGTTTTCGCATCGGCTCCCGGTGTCACGTTGTATTACCACGCCGTGCAGGGGAATTTGGTCGTTCGTGATCGAGCAAATATTACTGTAATTTTATTCCGCGATCACCGATTATTTCACATCCCTTATCGCTCGCTATTTGTCGAATTCTAATGAATTCTGCGGAAACTGCAGAGTACCTGACGACGGTTCTTAGCAGAGTAGACCGAGCCTCGTTGTGGAAGGTGATTATCACAGAAGTTGGCGGCAAGTCTCTCCTCCATTGTTTCATTCGACACCTGGAAGCAAAATTTTGGAAAACAATTAATTGGAAAATGCAAATTCAGCTTTGCATAAGACACCGTCGGAACAATAACTCAAAGTAAACTTTATATATTCAATTGTTAATTATATAACTATAATAACGGTCGTTTATAAAGTCGGTAAAAAGACGATACAGAGTATTAATGAAGATTTATTTATCGGACGTTTAATTTGCACAAGATGAATGGCGACGAACTTTCACGAAGTTGAAGTTCGAGGGGTGAAAAGAACCGAGGAGAAAGTAGCTCTTCAAAAAAAAGACGACTCGTCGCCTTAATTAGACAAGGGAACTCGGAACTGAGATTCCCCTAATGAGCTTCTCAATGAAACATTAGGCGACTTATAATTGGGTCATCAAGTCGGTGGATAGGATCGAGCCCCTTCGTCGGGGCTCTTGACGTTATCTGTTGATTAATATCCTTATTCGTGGGGGGTTTTAGAGTTAAATCAACTTATATGCATAATTCTTGTGTAGATATTTTAAACATTTCAATGATCGTTCAATGACCACGTGCTGATGTTATTCATAAATTTCGTTAAATACAAGGCAAGAGTAACAACAGACATTGTAACGTTAAATGATGTAAACGATGAATTATGAGGTGCTTGCGGAAAAAGTAAACACATCTGCAACCTGTTACAAATTTCGTACTTGTTCAAGCACTTTCGTGCAAAACACGTGTCCCTTTTTCATCTTACAGTTAATGTAAGGGGTGCATTAACGAAAAAAATCAGAACATTTCGAACGCAAAGTTCGGTGCAAGGGTACACGTTCCACGCGGAAGGGAACGTGTTAAGGTTGAAAAAGTGACGGGCAAAGACGAGGGTGGGCGGGTGGAAAGCAAATAGAAGAACAGCAAGAAAAAGGAGGACGATCATTTTGGCGCGGCACGCCGACACGGAGGGTACATAAATGCGACTAGACGGCCAGAACGATCCCAATATGTCAGTCCCACTTTTCCAAGATAAACTCGAGAAACGTGTACAGAATGCGTCCACGTGTAGCGTTGCGCTTCAACTTACCAACAACCCTCGTCGAGATTGTAAAAGTTCACGGATGAGATTATCGACCCCGCGAATTATTGCTTGCACCGCCTGAGATATTGTTACGTAGGCTTCCTCTGACCGAGAATAACGACACTTTCTGCCACTGCAGGATATCGAGTTTAGAAAGATATCTTGAGTTTTGGAACACGTCTCGAGTTTAGAAAGATATTTCGAGTTTAAGAAGATATTTCGAGTTAACTGTAGAAATTTAGAGTTCACGAACGAAAGTTAGTTTTAAACCAAAATTCAATTGCAGTTGAATGAAATACGAGTTTGGTTAGTCACATATTATATTGTGTCACGAGTGCGTCACGATATTAGGGGTTGAAACGACCACCAACGTTCTATTCATCGTTGTTCCACTCACCGAGACGAATTAAACGAGAAGTATAATTCGAGATGAGAAACGTTGGAGGCAAAGGTTGTGGACATATTTGTCGGCAACGAGATTGCAAACGATCCTTAAAGCGAAGCAGACGGGACGGATCATCCGGACGGTTTAATTCGAAACTGCAATTTGGGCTTTGGTCCGGGCGTTAAAGTGGGTAACGCGAGACGGAGCGGTTCTATCGAATCGGAACACGTGCACGCGCGTGTACACGAGGCGTTTACACGCGACAATGCTCGTCCCAAACAAAATTGCACGCTCGTTTCGAGCGGGACACGTCCATCCCGGCTTGTACCGGCTACAATTTCTCGTGTACCTCGCGAAATCGATACGTACACTAATCGACTTTTATACCGGTGTAACACTCGCGAATGTCTGTGTAAACGCGCAAAGCGAGGCATTTGATGCTTTAACGATTCGATGCCCGCTCGTTGATTTTTCGGTCTCAGTGATTTACTTTGCTTTTCGTTTACCTGCTGTTAACGTGTAACTAGTTTACTATGTAATTGTATATAACTACGTTAATGCATATGTTCATGTAACTACGTAAATGCATATGTTCATGTAACTACATAAATGCATATGTTCATGCAACCACATAAATGCATATGTTTGTGCAACTACATAAATGCATATGTTTGTGTAACTACATAAATGCATATGTTTATGTAACTACATAACTGCATATGTTTGGGCATTTGATGCTTTAACGATTCGATGCCCGCTCGTTGATTTTTCGGTCTCAGTGATTTACTTTGCTTTTCGTTTACCTGCTGTTAACGTGTAACTAGTTTACTATGTAATTGTATATAACTACGTTAATGCATATGTTCATGTAACTACGTAAATGCATATGTTCATGTAACTACATAAATGCATATGTTCATGTAACTACATAAATGCATATGTTCATGCAACTACATAAATGCATATGTTTATGCAACTACATAAATGCATATGTTCATGTAACTACATAAATACATATGTTCATGCAACTACATAAATGCATATGTTTGTGTAACTACATAAATGCATATGTTCATGTAACTACATAAATGCAAATGTTTATGTAACTACATAAATGCATATGTTCATGCAACTACATAAATGCATATGTTTGTGTAACTACATAAATGCATATGTTTATCAATTCTGATTTCAAGGAATGTATTTTAACAAAATGTGTATATAATAAGAAACTTGTGGAGCGGTCATTTGACCGATTTGGTAGTTTTAGCGTTAATAAAATGATTGCGTCTGAGAGGACCAAGGAAGAAGAGTGAAAGCCGGGAAAAATTTGTTTCTCGGGCATTTATTAAATAAAGCAATGCACGTGTTCGGGGCAGTAACGCGCGGTGAAAAATGCTCGCTGCCCCGAGAGAAGCGAAGAGAAATCCGTGCGGAGATAAAGAAAAATAAAGGGCATTCGGGAAGGATATATAAATTTACGCGTGCACGAGAGGATTGCATGCGCGGAAAATGGATGCGAAAGAGGTGCACACGCGAGATGCAGCCTCGGATTAATCCTGCAGAAAAGCTGCGATTCGATCTCACATCGAAATGCACTCGCAAATACGGCCAAGTGGTTACAACGGATCAAACCGGCAGGAAAGGGAGGACGAAAAGCGTTTATGACACGGGAAATGAATTTCTGGATAAATAAATGTTGCCTCTTCAACAAAATGAATTTTCGATTATTTCATTATCGGCTATCCGTTCGGGTATTGATCTTATCAATTTATTACGTTATAAATGTATTACGCTCCGGTTGCGATATTTCACTGTTATCCGTTTCCATTTTTATATTCGTTCTGTTCTTTTCGTAATAATTAATGCTACTCCAACATGTGTATGTGTGTGTAGATTTCTAAATTCTTAGATAGCGTGCATTTTTATTTAGGATCTTTTTAATTTAAATGATTTTTGTTTACAGGACATGTCATTTATTTTTATAATCACATTTCATGAATGTTTCAATTTATACTTTGTACTACTTGTATAATAAATGCTCTCATTTTAATTAACTGCTTCTGAGTTTTCCGAAATTATTTCTAATATCTTTTGTACATATCATCTTTTTATTTGTACACTGAATAAAATGTTCCCGAACCTCGATATCTCCTAATGATTGTATCAAAAACTCTGTAATTAGCGTGTTAATTTATAAGTAGTGTGTTAATATTTAAAGCAGTCTGCGGTAGCAAAGAAGAGACAGGCAACGGTCGATTTGCGAAGAAAATTGGAAGTCACGAAAAACGAGCTTGCCGTTGACCCGTTCATTCCGAACGGGATTTGTTAGGAGGCTTTCGAGCCACGTTCGGAATCAAGAGACGAGCTTTCGAGGGAGAGACGAGCGTCACGACATAAATTCGACGCTGTCTGCGACGCGTCTGCGAGCCTGTAAACTCGAATCTGGATCGTACTACACGGATCAGGGGATGGGAACAGGGATTTTTCAGACGTCTCGACTTTGGGACTCAACCGCGGGAAGCCGCTTTCAGAAATCTCTGAGGAAATGGCATCCATCGAAATAGACTCGAATATCTCTGGATTTTTATGTAATATGACTGTTTATCGAGTTATCGACTGTTTTATAGAAACATTTTTTTCTATTTGTACTCCGTTGTGATTATCAGTAAAAGACATTAATCTCATTCGATACTTTCAATCATAAAATCACATGTACCTTGAAATGTATAAAAAAATACATTAAGTTCATTCGATACTTTCAATCATAAAATCACATGTACCTTGAAATGTATAATAAAATACATTAAGTTCATTCGATACTTTCAATCATAAAATCACATGTACCTTGAAATGTATAATAAAATACATTAAGTTCATTCGATACTTTCAATCATAAAATCACATGTACCTTGAAATGTATAAAAAAATACATTAAGTTCATTCGATACTTTAAATCATAAAATCATATCTACCTTGAAATGTATAATAAAAGACATTAAGTTCATTCGATACTTTCAATCATAAAATCACATGTACCTTAAAATGTATAAAAAAATACATTAAGTTCATTCGATACTTTCAATCATAAAATAATATGTATCTTCAAATGTATAATAAAATACATTAAGTTCATTCGATACTTTCAATCACAAAATCATATCTACCTTGAAATGTATAATAAAATACATTAAGTTCATTCGATACTTTCAATCATAAAATCACATGTACCTTGAAATGTATAATAAAATACATTAAGTTCATTCGATACTTTCAATCATAAAATAATATGTACCTTGAAATGTACAATAAAATACATTAAGTTCATTCAATACTTTCAATCATAAAATCATATGAACCTTGAAATGTATAATAAAATACATTAAGTTCATTCGATACTTTCAATCATAAACTCATATGTACCTTGAAATGTATAATAAAATACATTAAGTTCATTCGATACTTTCAATCATAAAATAATATGTACCTTGAAATGTACAATAAAATACATTAAGTTCATTCAATACTTTCAATCATAAAATCATATGAACCTTGAAATGTATAAAAAAATTC